TATATTTATTATGAAATGTTTATAGGGTATTTTTCTTCTGCTGATCTGCTCGACAATAAATGGATTCACGCCCCACATCGAGTCGTGTTTTCGCGGCGTTAGCTGTTACATTAAGGGAGAATTTGCATTGTTTTCACCACCAACTTTTTGAATATCAGTGCGTGGGATACTTTCTGTTTTTTGTATAGATTTCTTTTGAATATGTAAGGTTTTTGGTCTCTACTAGTTCATCAAATATAAGATAAAAGTGAAAGCTTTTGACACCATTCCTGATATTACTAGCTCTATTCAACATACCCAAAACATGGACAGATTTTAGATTTATAATTGTGTTATATGTAATCAACGTTCAAGAACATGTCTGGTGACATGGGGGGTTTAGATAGTGTGCATGATGGATAGCTATGACCAAAGTAAATCAACATGTGAAATTACAAATATATTTCTGTCTTGGATATATCTCAAAGAAAAGGTGCTTTTCTCAGGCATAGAAATTACACAAAATATGTCAAATAACTCGATTTCCAATAGGAATTTATTCCTCGTACCATCTTTGGGAAAGAAAGAACGATTAATATTAAAATTTGATGATATAAATCTGATCTGGGAAAGTAATTCTGAATCCTCCCTTCATGTTCATGTACAATGTATTTTGGTCAGAGAGTGAGTGAGTTTTGGTGTTACGAGTTTTTCAACAGTAATCTAGTAATAGTTATGACGTAGTTGTAGGAAAGCCCGAGGTAATGCAGATCTCAGACGTTTATGTTTTTGTGAAACCCAGGAACACGTGTATGGCACTGACACATATAGAAACTTAACTGGGGAAAAGTGAGATTCGAACGCACAATGGGACACAACTCTGCAGAGTACATAGTCGACTGAACCCCCGTCATAGTTGCCATTACACACACAAAGAAAACCTAAAAACCAAAAAACAAACAAAACATTTTTGTTGTCAACAAAGAATCAGATTGCCCAAAGACAATCATCACTTGCACACTTGTTAATAGTTTTGATTGGCCGTGGGTCGACCAATCATGTGAAGCGCCGCTATTCGCAGAGTTGCATCCCTTGGGCATGCCAGAATTCTGCTGTGTCCAATTATGAGGTATCTCAGCACCATTCCCGTGCGTGTGTGTTTCACCCAGTCTTGGACCTGTATCAGTGCAGATATCAACTAAAACATGCTTTGATCACGAACGAGGTTTGAAGTCGTTTCGCTCTGTCATATTGCAGATCGTCAACAAGAGTGAGTGAGTGAGTTAAGTTTAACGTCACATCGGCAATACTTCAGCCATTTCGTGACGAGAACAACATAATTTATATCAACATTAAAATCAATAAGTATAGAACATAAAAATCTGCCATCGAAGGACAGTAAAACTACTAGTGTACCATAGCTCTAAAATATAAAACTAGTACGTTATCATAAAAAATATAACTATAGACAACACTACAATATAAAAACGGGCTATAGATCACCAGCAACTGAATCGTCAACAAGATAAAGAGGCAGACATCAGATATCAGGCACCACAAACAGATCACCTCTGTACACACCAGAAATTAGCTTCGCGCATTGTACCCATGTTGAGCTCCGAACCCGACCTCTGGCGTGACGGCCAGAGAATGTTTTGAAATCAGTTTGTATGATCCTATAATCGAAAGACACGACACGCAGAATGAAAGAGGTGCGAAGAAACTGTGTGTGCGTTATCGTAATATTCCCGTGATACCTCCAACCCCTGCCACTAATCAGTAGATATTCGTCACGTGGTACAATTTCTATCTGCATCACCTGTATGGAACGAGCACGTGAAGGTAAGTGGGCGTGTTGGGGATATTTGCCAGACTTCACTTACACTACAAATCTTCCAATGTCGGGTTATAGTCAATTCATTACTCTGTGATTGATGGACAAGGTGTGAAGTAATACGGTGGATATCGTCCACTATTTCAGCCATGGTGTTATGTTTCCTGTGTCTACTATTTCAGCCATGGTGTTATGTTTCCTGTGTGTGGTAATTCAGCCATGGTGTTATGTTTCCTGTGTGTGGTAATTCAGCCATGGTGTTATGTTTCCTGTTTGTGGTAATTCAGCATTGTTGTTATGTTTACTGTGTGTGCTAATTCAGACATAGTGTTATGTTTCCTGTGTGTGGTAATTCAGCCATGGTGTTATGTTTCCTGTGTGTGGTAATTCAGCCATGGTCCTATGTTTCCTCTGTGTGGTAATTCAGCCATAGTATTATGTTTCCTGTGTGTGGTAATTCAGCCATGGTGTTATGTTTCCTGTGTTTGGTAATTCAGACATAGTGTTATGTTTCCTGTGTGTGGTAATTCAGCCATGGTGTTATGTTTCCTGTGTGTGGTAATTCAGCCATGGTCCTATGTTTCCTGTGGGTGCTAATTCAGCCATAGTATTATGTTTCCTGTGTGTGGTAATTCAGCCATGGTGTTATGTTTCCTGTGTGTGGTAATTCAGACATAGTGTTATGTTTCCTGTGTGTGGTAATTCAGCCATGGTGTTCTGCTTCCTGTGTGTGGTAATTTAGCCATGGTGTTATGTTTCCTGTGTGTGGTAATTCAGCCATGGTGTTATGCTTCCTGTGTGTGGTAATTCAGCCATAGTATTATGTTTCCTGTGTGTGGTAATTCAGCCATGGTGTTATGTTTCCTGTGTTTGGTAATTCAGACATAGTGTTATGTTTCCTGTGTGTGGTAATTCAGCCATGGTGTTATGTTTCCTGTGTGTGGTAATTCAGCCATGGTCCTATGTTTCCTGTGGGTGCTAATTCAGCCATAGTATTATGTTTCCTGTGTGTGGTAATTCAGCCATGGTGTTATGTTTCCTGTGTGTGGTAATTCAGACATAGTGTTATGTTTCCTGTGTGTGGTAATTCAGCCATGGTGTTTTGCTTCCTGTGTGTGGTAATTTAGCCATGGTGTTATGTTTCCTGTGTGTGGTAATTCAGCCATGGTGTTATGCTTCCTGTGTGTGGTAATTCAGCCATGGTGTTATGTTTCCTGTGTGTGGTAATTCAGCCATGGTGTTATGTTTCCTGTATGTGGTAATTAAGCCATGGTGTTATGTTTCCTGTGTGTGGTAATTCAGCCATAGTGTTATGTTTCCTGTGTGTGGTAATTCAGACATGGTGTTATGTTTCCTGTGTGTGGTAATTCAGCCATAGTGCTATGTTTCCTGTGTGTGGTAATTCAGACATGGTGCTTTTTTCCCTGTGTGTGGTAATTCAGCCATGGTGCTATGTTTCCTGTGTGTGGTAATTCAGCCATGGTGCTATGTTTCCTGTGTGTGGTAATTAAGCCATGGTGTTATGTTTCCTGTGTGTGGTAATTCAGCCATGGTGCTATGTTTCCTGTGTTTGGTAATTCAGACATAGTGTTATGTTTCCTGTGTGTGGTAATTCAGCCATGGTGCTATGTTTCCTGTGTGTGGTACTTCAGCCATGGTGCTATGTTTCCTGTGTGTGGTAATTCAGCCATGGTGTTATGTTTCCTGTGTGTGGTAATTCAGCCATGGTGTTATGTTTCCTGTGTTTGGTAATTCAGACATAGTGTTATGTTTCCTGTGTGTGGTAATTCAGCCATGTTGCTATGTTTCCTGTGTGTGGTAATTCAGCCATGGTGCTATGTTTCCTGTGGGTGGTAATTCAGCCATAGTATTATGTTTCCTGTGTGTGGTAATTCAGCCATAGTGTTATGTTTCCTGTGTGTGGTAATTCAGACATAGTGTTATGTTTCCTGTGTGTGGTAATTCAGCCATGGTGTTTTGCTTCCTGTGTGTGGTAATTCAGCCATGGTGTTATGTTTCCTGTGAGTGGTAATTCAGCCATGGTGTTATGCTTCCTGTGTGTGGTAATTAAGCCATGGTGTTATGTTTCCTGTGTGTGGTAATTCAGCCATGGTGTTATGTTTCCTGTGTGTGGTAATTAAGCCATGGTGTTATGTTTCCTGTGTGTGGTAATTCAGCCATAGTGTTATGTTTCCTGTGTGTGGTAATTCAGACATGGTGTTATGTTTCCTGTGTGTGGTAATTCAGCCATAGTGCTATGTTTCCTGTGTGTGGTAATTCAGACATGGTGCTTTTTTCCCTGTGTGTGGTAATTCAGCCATGGTGCTATGTTTCCTGTGTGTGGTAATTCAGCCATGGTGCTATGTTTCCTGTGTGTGGTAATTAAGCCATGGTGTTATGTTTCCTGTGTGTGGTAATTCAGCCATAGTGCTATGTTTCCTGTGTGTGGTAATTCAGCCATGGTGTTATGTTTCCTGTGTGTGACCTTCCCAGTGCTGTGTTGACGTGTCTACTTTCGTTATGTACAGGGAACCGACTACCCTCATCTCACACAAGTTCGTGTGTGGACTTACCGATGCACTGACGTCAGTAAATTACTATGCCTATCATATCTACACATAATACAGTTTTGAGAAAGTATGGGTGTATAGTGTCAAGTGGCACTGCATTTGTTGGGCAATCTCTTACAGCCTACTTTCGTTATAGAAATGAGTTTTGCAATCTAGGTTAGTCCATTGTATACGCGATAATAAACGGAAATGCACCTGTTGATAGCGCCTCTGGTGATACATGAAAGACCTTTATGAGAGACTAACTAGAAATCTAAGCTTGCTTCAATTCTGGCTTTAGCACTGCAGGGAAGGCTAGGCCGTAGGGAAAATAATGTGGTTCAGGGACTGTGAGACAGACTAGAAAAAATATATGTCAAATTAGTTTCAAAAGTCGTACATTGGGAGGAAATGACTGAGCGATAAATGCACGTAAGCAATGGCAGAAGTATATGTGCTTTATCGTGTTGTATACTTGACACGCGAACCCTGACCCCCTCATGTCTTCTCGGAGGGTGCATTTACGTCGTGTTGTGTGTCGTTGCTGACCAGTAGCCGTTTATTATGGGGCTCAACCTCACCCTTCACCGACTGGCTGGAACGAGGAAATGAAGTTGAGTAATAATAATAATAATAAGTGTTCTTGTATAGCGCACAAATCAAACTGCAAGGCAATTTCTCTAGGCGCTAAACGTGCAGACGGTATTTGCCAGACTTCACGTACACTACAGTTCTAACAATGACCAGGTATAGCGACGTAATTACGCGGTGATCAAACGACAAGGTGTGAAGAAATATGGTGATAATGGTCTTAGAATTCAAGTCCTTCCCTCTGTGCTCCGTGGTCTACTCTCACTATATACAGATATATCGATATGTACAGCCTAATCTCAGGTGACTCGGTCTGTGGACATAACGGTACATTGACTCAAGATGGAAAACTATTAGGGCTGTCATTTCTACATTTAATAAAATATTTAGACAGTAAATATTCACAGCTGGAGTCGCGTTTGTTGGCGCAAGCAGTTGACACCAGCCTAGCTACTTTCGTTATGGAAATGAGCGCTGATATCGACGTCAGCGCTTTATGTGCCAAGTGCACGAGTCATTGTTGCTTCTAGGTGTAGATGGCGGGTGTGTTGTCGTCTTCATTAACGTTTTGCATCAAACGAAAGCTGGACGTCCACGTAGTTGGCCGAAGCAATGTGATTGTTTGGACGCCAAGTTTACACATTGGCAGAAACAAATGTGTTTCATCTTCGTCACTTCATCACAGTACCGAGATCAAACAAGCTGAAAACAAACCTGTCAACCATCCAAGGACTCTCTGTGTACAACATTGCTTAACTTTGACTGATTAGTGACCTGGGGTATATGCACAAGACGACACCCCAACAGGCTGTTCTTGTCTCCCAGGGTGGGCACACAAAATATTGATTGCAGAAGACCTTGATCTTAGAATTTTCAGTCTTTCTCCAGAACACACACACACACACACACACACACACACACACACACACACACACACACACACACACACACACACACACACACACACGTGCACGCACGCGCTCGCGCACACACACACACACACACATACATCTGTGAGGCTTGTCGGCTGTGGTTGCGCTGGTATGTCCAAACATTTGAAATGAACACTTACTATCGTTTATATATAGAGAGAGAATACTAAATGGTGTCCCGTATAATACCTTATTCATTCGTTAAATATTCATTTATTACCCATCCAACATTAGCACAAAAATATATCAGAATTCAACTTACAGAACGAGTGCATTACGCCGTCATAACAGGGGTCAAGGGTATGAATACATTTCATAAATGATTGTCAACAATAGTCTGTTTAATTTGATTTTTTTAAATGAACAAGGGCTTATGAAAAAGGGTTCAAATAACTTCAACCAACATATCATTTATTTTGTATAAATGCTATTACACGCAACCGTTACTTTGGCCATATTGCCTAGTGCAAATAGTCCCGTTAGCATGCAATGCGTAATAACATTGTAGATTTAATGCATCTTCATTTTGCAGATGGCGACGTCTCAGAAACTGCAAGAATATTTTCTCACATGCACCATATGTACAGAAGTATTTGACAATCCATGCACCCTTGTCTGTTATCACACATTCTGTCGGAAATGTGTCGTCAACTACACCAAAACCAAACCGGAAGCCATCAGTGCCAAGTCTCTGCTGTGTCCTTTCTGCAGCAAGATGACGAAAGTGACCTCCCTTGAGAGACCAATAGATGTGTGGGCGGATGACGTCAAACCGAGCTTTGTCATCCAGGGACTGCTAGACTCATTTGGTCCCGGATGTAAAGGTAAGGATCAATGGTAAACCGGTACTGCAGTGCACGATGGTCTTTTGGATGTGTCTTGCATCACTCTCAAAAGAAAGGAAGGATAGACACGTGTAAAATCTGTGAAATATTCGTCTGTGGTCATCGTATAAAGTTTGTAGCCGCCCCATGTTCGACTCTTAACCTTTGCGAAGGCAACACACTCCCTTACTCAATGTGAAAATGACTGATCTAAATCTACATGTAATTGTAAATACATTCATTATGTACTGATACAAATTTCAATTTTCATTATGTCAAACTAGTCATTCAAGTTCCCGAAATCTGAAGTCAGTCTTGCGGATATCTTTGTTTAATATATCGTGTTGTGAGGTAGCTTACACTAAAATTACTAGTAACAATAATTCATAAACCACAACAAATTGTGCAATTACGTATACAGATAGAGTGAGTGAGTTTAGTTCTATGCCGCCTTTGGCAATATTACAGCAATATCATGGCGGGGAAACCAGAAATAGGTGTCACACATTGTGCCCATCTGGGAAATCGAACCCGGATTTTTGGCATGACGATCGAACGCTTTGACTACAAGGCTAGCCTACCGCCCTTAAATAGCTACACGTGAGAACAAACACTCGATGATACAATGCTGAATGATTTTCATTCAACCTTGTTTTTTTTGTCCAGATACAAAGAACTGCACGTTCTGTCATCGCGAAGGGGGGACAACTCCAGCGACTGTGTGGTGCTCTGTTTGTGATGACGCCCTGTGTGATGAATGTGCTAGGGCGCACAGTCGCATCTCATCCACTCGTCATCACGATACAACTGACCTGACTAGTGAGGCCATTATCCCCAGGAAACGAAACATTAAGTGTAAAGAACACAAGGATGAAAACATCAAATTCCTGTGCAAAGATTGCAAGAAAGTCACCTGTCACACCTGTTGTGTTATCTATCACAGGAAATGTGAGTCAGTTGTCACACTGGAGTCGGAATTACCTGCATTAAAGTCCCAGCTGTTGAATAAGAAGAAAACTATTTCGAAGAAGCAAATCCAAATGGAAGCAAAAGTTGATGCTGTTAAAGTGAACGTCGTTTCTGAGAAAGATCGATATGCAAGAATGGAACATGACATCAAGTCTTTTGGTAACAACGCGAGAGAAAAGATAACTCTCATGGAAAATAAACTTCTAGATGAACTGAAAGAAGTTTCTGAAATGCACATTGAACAACTGACAGCCAACCTAAAGTCGAGTGAAATATCAGTACACATGTACCGACAACAGACTGAGCTGATAGACCAGATTCTACAATCTGAGTGTGACATGGACGTGTATGAGATGTATCAGGGGTATGAGGCCGGTAATGTGGAGGCTGTCGAAGACGTAGACGTGAAGAAGAGGGGTAGAATAGCCAGGATCATGTTCAGACAGAACGAAGACATGCTGAGTAGAGCTCTGGACGATCTACAGCTGGGGGAGATAGATGTCCAGTATGACGGTATGGTGAACTTGGAGGCAACACCTGTATCTCAAGACACCAGTAACGTGCTGGACCTGAAGGCTGCTCCTGTGTTACAGAACATCATTAGAGTTAAGGTAGCTGGAGATGAGAATAATGTTTACCTTGGTGACTTAACAGTATTGCCGGTGAATGGTACAGACACAGTGGTTGTAACAGACTACAGCAACAACAGTGTGAAGTCCTTCTACACCAGGAACAAACAACGACATCACAGCAAGCTCAGCCTGGGAGGTAAACCGTGGGGTATAACAAGGCTGAAAGATAACCAGGTGGCTGTCACTGTGATGTATAGGAGGCAGATTGTAACAGTTGAAGTGAACCCTGACCTGGTGCTGCTGTCGACCATCACAACCAGCAAACAGTACAGGGGTATAACGTCTCTGACACCATCAACACTAGCAGCAGGTTCTTATAGTGATAAATGTGTGGATATTCTGGACATGAGAGGAAACGTCCTGAAGTCAATTAAACCTATAGTTCGTGGGAAGGAAATTATACATATTCCTGAGTTTCTTTGTACAACAAGAACAGGAAACATCCTTGTGTCGGATAGCGGTTCGAAGCGTGTCCTGTGCCTGCCAGCTGAAGGGGACGTTGTGTTCACCTACCCTACAACAGGACACACAACACTGCGACTGCCAGGATGTATCACAAGAACCAGCACTGGTGACATCCTGGTTACTGACTACTATCAACATACTGTTGTTCATCTGACTGAGTCAGGACGGTTTGTCAGAAACATACTCACTAAAGATGGTGGTGTCTTGTCCCCGCTCGGAGTTTGTGTAGATGGACGTGGCCGTGTATATGTTTGTAATTATGTGTCAGGTAAAATCAAAGTATTCACTTTCAGCAACTCAGTATAGACCTTTGATTCACTATCAAGTGCTCATTTTGTCTGTAAATATTGAAAATAACTACATTTACAACAACCTCCTGACTGGAGATTGAATGACACCGTGTTGACAAATCATCACATGTAATATACAGTGTTGTGGAATATGATTATAACTACTACATAGTGTGACTGAGTATAACTACTATACAATGTGACTGTGTGTAGGTACTATACAGTGTGGCTGAGTATATCTAAAATACAGTGTGACTGGGGAAATCTGATGTTTAGTGTCAGTGAGTCTCATCTGAATGTCCTTTGAATGCCTTGTAACGTATGCTAATCAGAATAAGTTTCCTTGTTGTGTTTTAGTGTATGCAGAAGGACTACTTGAATGAAAACACACGTATGGATATCAGTGTATGCCACTTAAACCTAAACTTTGAAATCAAATTTTTATGTGTACATTGGGTTACTTGGTCTTTCAGACCTATTCGTAAATAAGGGTAGGAGATTGTCAATAGAGAAATGTTTAAGATCATGTCCTTTATGTCATTCAGCCATTGAAAATGAAATCCATTTCACATTTTTCTGCCCATTTTATTTTGATCTAAGAACCAAATATATACCAGTGCAATATCAGTCAAAATATCCCCAAACTGCCTTTGAGTCAATTTCATCCTCAAATAATGAAAACGTTATTCTCCAACTTGCCTTTTATGTAAAACATGATTTATCTTAAGATATGAAGTGTTAAGCATTGATTAATTTTATTTCTTTCATCCTTGTATGATTGTGTGTATTTATATATGTATACCATGTATTTTCCTTGTATATGGGCCGGAGGCCTTAAATACAATAAACACTTTGACTTGACTTGTCTACTGCACCATGCTCTGAATTTCTAAATTTTGATCCTCAAGTTAGACTGTTATTCTGCTATGATGATCAGTTCCGCGTATGTGCTACTCACCTTTACTTTAACTTAGGATTGATGTCTGATTCCACTAGAAACGATCTTGGTTAGAATTGGTCTTCAGTATCCCATGCTTCCCGTAAGAGGCGACTAAAGGAATCGGGTGGTCAGATTTGCTGACGTGATTGATTCATGCCAACGTATCCGTATTGCGTAGATGTATTTTCATGCTTTTGATCACTTGATTGTCTGGGCCAGATTCGATTATTTACAGACCGCCGCCTGCTGGAATATCAAATAGCGCGGCGGTAAACAACAAACTCAACATACAGGCGTTTGATGTGAAGATATTATTTCTCAATTATTAACTATTTCTGTTTCTAGATCAACGTGTTTCCAATAAACAACGATGAAGTATGCCCTGTTGCCTTTTAAATAGCCAACACAAGATACTGCAGTCGTTTCCTAACTGTTGGAATGACTCGCTCTTTAACACGCTGTTTACACAGAATCCCACAACGACTCCTTTGGCATTATAAAACACAGCATAAAACATCAGAGTGTGGCACATAACGCAGCCTATCGTATTGTCGAAGTTTCTTTACCTTTTTGCTTTTTGTTTATGTCATTGCGAGAAGACTACAATGGCATTTCTGAAGTCCATTGTATAGCGACCACAAAGGTTTTGCAAAGAGTAGAAATAATGGTATCAAGAGACTCCCAACAAGCAAATATCAAGAGGATTTACGTGTCTGTTTAGTAACAATGTAGAAGTAAACATACGTAAACCAAAGATATCATGGAAGTTGTATCCTAGCATATATCATTGTAGTGAGTCTAAGGTATATTTTCCAGCACAACAAACGAACCTTCTTTCTTTCACACCTGTCAGTGAGAAATCATTGTGATATTACTGGTATCAAACAGACGTATGTGGCAGAATTATAGATCCGTGGTTACTCCACAGTGATGATCTGAGACATTTTTCGATTCTAATTTGTATTATAGTTTGTAGCCTTGGTAATGAATTGAATAATCAATAATACTTGTGTAAACAATTATGTTGATGTCGCAGGTTAAGTCAAGGCGCGTGTTATCTCCACTGTGGATCCTCTTGGAACACACTTTAGTCATTTTACTGGTGAGATGCGTCAAATGTCATCCGTCGTCTTTCAAAAATACCTCACATGGTAACGTCAGTGTCTGTCCATGATGAGATGGATTTACCGAGTGGTGTGATTGATGAAATTATGAAGACTGACGTTCTTAAGCATGATGAACAAAGATGTTAGATGTACTAGCAATGATGACGTGTTATATGCAATCAACCTTTAACACTCGGGTGCCTAAGACATTTTTAACGATCTAATTTTGACCAAAGTAAATCTCAATACAGCGGAAATTAACATTCCTGTTTTGGATATATCATGGAAATACATTTTTTTCATTCATAGAAAATAGACAAAATATATCAAATAACTTGACTATCTATGGGACATTTCAAAACGATTCAAAGTAAGTATTATAGTTAATTATCAAACTCTGATCTACAAAAGTAATCCTGAACCCTCCAGAGACTCCAAGTCAGCCATTTCAGAACACACCCAACCGGCCAAACTGCAAGATAAGAAAACTCACCTAGACAGTCAACATCAAACGACCCAACCCGACAGTCAGCAGAGATAATGGTTATTACATCCCTGCAGCTAACGATCATCACTTAATACACCCAAATTTAGTTAACTACTGTTTGATACTTTAGAAAACATAATCAACTTCGTTGAAATAACAAAATCTGTATGATCTACGAGAAGCCCAGGTATTGGTGGATCCTTAATGCAGCAGTGACGTTTTCACGTATTTTTACATTGTAGTTTGTTTATTTAAAAGTCAATTAAAAAGTTATACGAAAACATTTCCTTTTTATTGTGTTATACAGTTTTGTGGGTAACAGTATCATTCATGGTATTCCCTTTACCTGTTGTCTGTGTAGGTCAGGTTGATGAATATGCATATCACGTGCATTTCATGTTAGTGGGAATCTTTGTGATAATATTGAGGATTTTGATTGGCTGATTAGATCATCTGTTTCAATAAGATGACACCTCGTGGTGCCTTGTGGTTGTCATTGAGTGCCGAATATGTGAGGCCAAACCAGAGTTGTCCCCAGTTTAGTTTAGATATGGTTGTACAAATGGTTTGTAAAGTTGTCAGGTTATACAGTATTAGTGAAGAAGTTTAGCTACTGTTTTAGGCTAAAAACGTGTATTAAACAGTCATTAATATTAGCATTTTAAAAATGTAAACGTTATGCTTAGCTAAACTGGTTTAGGCAGGAAAGTATTCACACCAAATGGTGTATTGTCAGTTTATTCACATATGAATTTTTTGCAAGTTGTCTCGTGTGTACGCGCTGTGATAATGGCTGCTAAGAATGAGAATGCATGGCGTGTGTCAGTTATGGATGCGTGTAATATATGTACATTTGACCATGTTGTGTTACTAAGGTTTATCATCACGTTGCCGTTGGGCAGGGGGTAAAGGCGTTGCTTACTCTTATAGACGGGTGAGCTAATTTTGAATAATTATGAAATGTTAAACATATACCTTTCATTCTCATATGGAGAACATACCTATTATATTGAATTCCTATTACAAACCCAGTCTCATTATCTAAGTGAAATAATTCAAAGGGAAACTGTTTGTTATCAATATATTTATTTTTTCTTCAGTGTGATCATGCATTACATGTTTTTCAGTTTTTGTCCCCCTTTTCTTTTCTCATAATATACATGCTAATTAATCTGTGATAATGTTTAAAGGGTATTGTTCTTCTGCTTATCTGCTCGACAATAAATGGATTCACGCCCCACATTGAGTCGTGTTTTTGCGGCGTGAGCTGTTACATTAAGGGAGAATTTTGCATTGTTTTCACCACCAACTTTTTTAATATCAGTGCGTGGTATACTTTCTGTCTGCTTTTTGTATAGATTTCTTTTGAATATGTAAGGTTTTTGGTGTCTATAGTTAATCAAATATAAGATAAAAGTGAAAGCTTTTGACACCATTCCTGATCTTACTAGCTCTATTAAACATACCCAAACATGGACAGATTTTAGATTTATAATTGTGTTATATGTAATCAACATTCAAGAACATGTCTGGTGACACGGGGGGTTTAGATAGTTTGCATGATGGATAGCTATGACCAAAGTAAATCAACATGTGAAAATACAAATATATTTCTGTCTTGGATATATCTCAAAGAAAAGGTGCTTTTCTCAGGCATAGAAATTACACAAAATAAGTCAAATAACTCGATTTCCAATAGGAATTTATCCCTCGTACCATCTTTGGGAAAGAAAGAACGATTAATATTAAAATTTGATGATATAAATCTGATCTGAGAAAGAAATTCTGAATCCTCCCTTCATGTTCATGTACAATGTATTTTGGTCAGAGAGTGAGTGAGTTTTGGTGTTACGAGTTTTTCAACAGTAATCTAGTAATAGTTATGACGTAGTTGTAGGAAAGCCCGAGGTAATGCAGATCTCAGACATTTATGTTTTTGTGAAACCCATGAACGCGTGTATGGCACTGACACATATAGAAACTTAACTGGGGAAAAGTGAGATTCGAACACACAATGGCACACAACTCTGCAGAGTACATAGTCGAGTGAACCCCCTGTTTGTTGGTTCAAATTTGTGGTTCAAGGCAGACAGTGACTTTTCTGTCATAGTTTCCATAACACACACAAAGAAAACCTAAAAACCAAAAAACAAGCAAAACATTTTTGTTGTCAACAAAGAATTGCCCAAAGACAATCATCACTTGCACACTTGTTAATAGTTTTGATTGGCCGTGGGTCGACCAATCATGTGAAGCACCGCTATTCGCAGAGTTGCATCCCTTGGGCATGCCAGAATTCTGCTGTGTCCAATTATGAGGTATCTCAGCACCATTCCCGTGCGTGTGGGTTTTACCCAGTCTTTGACCTGTATCAGTGCAGATATCAACTAAAACATGCTTTGATCACGAACGAGGTTTGAAGTCGTTTCGCTCTGTCATATTGCAGATCGTCAACAAGAGTGAGTGAGTGAGTTAAGTTTAACGTCACATCGGCAATACTTCAGCCATTTCGTGACGAGAACAACATAGTTTATATCAACATTATAATCAATAAATTTAGAACATAAAAATCTGCCATCGAAGGACAGTAAAACTACTAGTGTACCATAGCTCTAAAATATAAAACTAGTACGTTATCATAAAAAATATAACTATAGACAACACTACAATATAAAAACGGGCTATAGATCACCAGCAACTGAATCGTCAACAAGATAAAGAGGCAGACATCAGATATCAGGCACCACAAACAGATCACCTCTGTACACACCAGAAATTAGCTTCGCGCATTGAACCCATGTTGAGCTCCGAACCCGACCTCTGGCGTGACGGCCAGAGAATGTTTTGAAATCAGTTTGTATGATCCTATAATCGAAAGACACGGCATGCAGAATGAAAGAGGTGCGAAGAAACTGTGTGTGCGTTATCGTAATATTCCCGTGATACCTCCGACCCCTGTCACTAATCAGTAGATATTCGTCACGTGGTACAATCTCTATCTGCATCACCTGTATGGAACGAGCACGTGAAGGTAAGTGGGCGTGTTGGGGATATTTGCCAGACTTCACTTACACTACAAATCTTCCAATGTCGGGTTATAGTCAATTCATTACTCTGTGATTGATGGACAAGGTGTGAAGTAATACGGTGGATATAGTCATGGTGTTATGTTTCCTGTGTCTACTATTTCAGACATAGTGTTATGTTTCCTGTGTGTGGTAATTCAGCCATGGTGTTATGTTTCCTGTGTGTGGTAATTCAGCCATGGTCCTATGTTTCCTGTGTGTGGTAATTCAGCCATAGTATTATGTTTCCTGTGTGTGGTAATTCAGCCCTGGTGTTATGTTTCCTGTGTGTGGTAATTCAGACATAGTGTTATGTTTCCTGTGTGTGGTAATTCAGCCATGGTGTTATGTTTCCTGTGTGTGGTAATTCAGCCA